TGCTATCTAGTCAAGCAATCTGCCAATTCAAAATCTATGTGGATAATAAAAGTTTTTATCATGAAAGAGAAAGAAAGAAATGCCTCTGAGTTTATATTAGAAATGCTATCTTCCTAAAAATGTAATGCAGTAGAAGTAAACTTCCATCAACCAATAAATAAATAAATAGAAATATCACTAAGTAATATAAGCCTTCTCTACTGAATGTAAAGAAATCCCATTCTAAGAAATTCATCCAAAAGTTTTTAGCATCTAAGATTTTGTGTGTGTCTGTGTGCGTGCCCTTTTAACTTGCTCTTATTCCATAGAAGATCTAACCTATGTTAAGCAATGCATCACACAAAATAAAGATGTACAATTTACTTTCTTTGAGTTACCTGAAGTCTTGGATGCTACTTAAAGCAAATTTCTACCCATCCTAATCCTGATTATCACTTTTTCCCCCTGGAAATAAATTATGTAGACTGTATTCTTCTGCTACTGGAATGCTTTTTGTGGGACTCTGTATCTTTTTCTCCTTACCTCCTTTTGCATAATTTTTTTGTTAATATACAGTTAAGAATGGTCTTGTCTGATTTATTTTTATCAGATAAAAAGAAGAAAAATCTGAATGCTAGTTCCAATGTCTCATAATAACAACATTTTAGTGTCCCTTGCCTATCTAACAGAGTACCAGTATGCTAGCAGGTCAGCTTATTCACAAAAGGACCTATCCGTAGAAATGTTGAATTTTTAAACTAGGAATCTGTGCATTAAAGTGATAGAGAAGAGGAATACTGTACATAAAATGCAAGCATTAAATCAGAAATATCCAAAGCAAAAAACAGCCAGTCTTGATCAATAATATAACTAGTGAAGAGCCGAATAGGAACCTATGACATTTCACTTGTTGCTAAATTAGAATTTCCATCAGTTCTCACTAACTTAATCAATGTGAGGATTATAGGAAACCGAAACTTGACCAAAGTGCTTTTTCAGGTTGAATGAGCAGCTTGGGAAGAACTTAGGGAGGGAAAAATTCCTTCCAGCATAGAATAGAGAATGTCAGGTCTGAAAGGCATTTGGTATTGATACACTGAACTAATCTATATTTTAAAACCATGGTGGTTGGATTTACATATGTTAAACCACAATACACACACTGCACAATGCCAAAAGCAAGTATTATTGTAGAACCCTGCAAAAGCAGATTCTGCTGTTTTACTTAGACTTCCTTCAGTTGCTGGGCATAATTCTATAGAGCTCACGTTAGATCTGCATTTTTAATATAGCCACTGATTTTATATTTTAATGCCCTAAAAGAAAAAAAACTGTGTGCGATCCCTAACATTACTATTTCAAGCTTTAGAAAGCTCATCTTCTGCAGGGCCACACAAAATATAAGTGATGTCCTGAATTTCTGAATAATGTTACCAAGAAGTGGCAAAGATAGTGGGGTTTTGATCATTAAAAAAGCATACAAAACACAACTGTATGATGCATACCACTCATCCCCCTATTGTGTAGAATGTATTAACAAAAGAGCCAGAATACTGTATTTTCACCCAAATAAAATATTATGATTTGAGAGCTGTTAAGTGTTATTTGCCTACAGCAAAAATCTGGTGATACTACATTTGCAACATTGAGAGTTGTGTATTCATGTAAAAAAAAAAAAAACCCTGACAAGATTCTGCATTTAAATTCACTTTGAAACATACAAGTTGATTTCAAATCAACATTCTTGAAATGCCATTAAATGGGCATATCAGAAAATGATGTGTACCTAAACCTTTTGAAGATTTTTGAATTGTCCTGATTTGGAACATGGGTCCATAACACAGTCTTGAGAATAATTACGTGTGTCAGATAAACTGAGACACTGATGAATGATTGCGAGTTTCCCTCTCTGGAAGCTACCATCTTCCATCAAAATACATTTGTACTGAGATTTGTCTTGGTCATAATAGCTTAAGATAGAGAAAGCCTTCTGGAAAGCATTTTGAATTAATTCCCCTTAAGGATGGAAGTTTTGATAAGATTTTTTTCACTGTATTGTAGCTCTTTTCATTTCAGATGTTTACAACTCTGGCAATGAAACAGCTCTCCCAAATAAAACCTGAAGACTCATTTGTACTCTTAAACACAGCACAAATATGTCCTACTAAGCTATGCTGTGTCCCCAGGATGTTGTCTGGATGTCATCTCCAGCAACAAGTCTGACAATTTCAAGCTGTCTTTAGCTGTATCCACTCTAAAGATACAGCTTTCTCTCCTCTCGTTGCGCTGAGGATTCAATTTAAATGACGATGATATTGCCAACGTGATCTCCCCAGTTCCTACTGGCCATTTCAGTTTGCAGCTGGCAGACACACCCCTCCAATGGCTGGGATGCCCTCCATAGACATTTTGGAACAAGCTGGCAGAAGTCAGTGGAAATCTGGCTAATACAGAGGCCCATGTAATCATGACTGGCATTTGACCAGCATTTGACCGGCAGTAATCCTATGCTGCATTGAAATCAAATAAACCAGAAAAGAGAGTCAAATTCTATGAACTGTAAGTTATTGGTTTGGTTACCAATGGGTACATTAAGAGTTTTCCACTGCTTCAAACAACATGGGGCTTCTGATGGCATCATTTTTTATAATTTTTAATACAAAGAGGGAACCATTTTCTCTAACTGCTCTGTTATGGCTCTAAGCCTGCCCAAGGCTACTACCATCTACAACAGCAGCCTCCAACCTTATGGGCACCAGGTACCAGTTCCATAGAGTTTTTTCTGGGGGCTGGTGGGGGCGTCGTTTCATGTGGTGCCTGCATCCCACGGATGGGGCTTTGCTTGTTTGCATCACCCAGTTTCTGGCATGCCGCAGACCAATGCCGCGGACCAATGCCAGTTCACCGACCAAGGGTTGGGGACCCCTAATCTACAAGAACAAAACTGAACTTGCTAGCAGTGTTGCCATTTTCTTGCAGTAGGAACTAAACTTAACCCCGCCTTCCTGCTTTGCTCTGGGCCCCTCCTCTGCAGCTGTGACTTGTCAGTTTGACTACTTTAGGACACTATTTCAGAAGATAGTGCCCAGCTGGGAAAAAAACCCACACACCACATTGTTCCTTGAGGGTGAAATGTCAGGAGGGCAAACAACCATGGATATGAATATGCACCACTAGCTTTCCTTAAGGGATTCCACATTAAAATGGCAAGTACAGCACTGCTCACCAGCCTCCTTAGGTGGCATAATAGGGCTCAGTAAGGATTCCCTGGCATGAGGGATTGGACTGCGAGGCAGAGAGCCTCATCTATCCCTGCTGCACTTGCTGTCACAGCATCGTTTCCTGATCTGCTTTCTTTTCTAAACATGTAGTTGCTTGTGGATGGCAGGCTTGTCTGCCCAATTTACATTTGGAAGCCAACGTCATGCTGAGCTTTAGCAGCAGTAAGCAAAAAAGGTCAGCAAGATCTAAGCTACGGAAAATATTTTCCCTGTAAAAATACTGAAGGGAGAGGAAGCCAGCAGTGTCCAGATTTGAAGCTGGGGGAATTGTAAGCTTTTCAGTCCGGGGTTTCCTTGGGTTTCCACTTATACGCCCCTCCATTTAAAACCTTCCCTCACTTTCTCCCGAGGTTTGTTTTTTTTCTTGGAGGGGGGGTATTCTGACGGAGAGTGACTGAGTCAAGTCGTATCTCCGCTCAGCGCTCATCTCGCGCCGAAGCGACGAGGGAGTTGCTGGGAGTCACATGGAAGCGGCTCCCAGTAGCGAACCCGCGCATCGCTTCGGAGCGCTCGGGGTCAATCCAGTCAGTCTCCGAGGAGCGGGGAAGTCCTGCGGTTGGAGAAAATGTAAATAAGGGGAAGGCGGGTCTCTGCAAGCCACCTGCTTCTTAAGCGTGTCTCCGTGAGTAAGAGGAGAGCGGGAAAACGGCTCGGCTCCACACAAGGGCTTGTTTTCAAGCTGTAGGAAAAGAGCGAAAGAAGAGACGCGTTCCCTTTGGAAGTGTAGGTTTCCGTTTTTTTTGTTGTTTTTTTCCCTTTGGTTGCGTCCTGCGGTTTCTTTCTCGCCCGCCTTCCCCCCGCTGCCCCACCCCACCCCCAGGCACATCTTTCTGTCGCCTCTGAGCTGGCTGAAACTTCCCTGGAACTTGGCGAGAGTGTGGGGGAGGAGGCAAAAGGGGATCCCTCTCGGTCCCTCCCGCTGGGTGGATTTCGCACCGGTCCGTTTTTACGCATACGGTAATTTCTCCCGAGCTTTGGCAATATAGATGGGGGAGGGAGGCAGTGGGAAGGCATAAGGAAAGGGTGCTTGTCGTCTAACGTGACCTTCTTAACACGACGGAGGAACGGTTGAAGCTCAACAGAGACAAGCTTAATGACAAAAAAATGTAATTGCCGACATCCGATGGGCTTCTCCACTTTTTTTTTTTTTTTTACTCCCGAGCTGAAGCTGCTACTGCGACGACTGGACTGGAAGCGGTTTTAATGACTCCTCGAGGGAGATTTCCTTTCTGCGGTGCTGACTGCCTCTCTTTGTATCTTTTGCTGCTATTTGGCACAAGGGAGCGGAGACGCGCCGGGCACAGCCTCCTCTGCGCCCCCTTTCTTGCTCCTCCTATCCGGTTTATTCGGTAGCGGCGAGTACTTTTTCGACTGCGTTTGCACGAGAGGCAACAGCTTGCCTGTCTGGCCGCTGGGGAAGCCTTCCCAAAGCAAAATATACTGAACCGGTCACGGATTGAAGCGGGAGTCTCCAGGCTTCGTTTCTTTTCTTTTTTCTCTTTTGCCCGCCTCTCGTTTCCAAACAGTTTCTGTAAATCAAGCGGCCGGCTTCTCGCCGCCCGCCCTCTCCTCTCCCTCCGGCTTTCTTCAAAGCAGTTCCTCGTTTGCCTGGTGTCAACCGTGGTTGTCCCTGGATCTCGTCTTAGGCGGAGAGGGAAGAGCAGCGCTCTGTTCCTTTAAGGAGAACTAGGCACCTTATTCTACTCCAAAGTTTCTCAATAAAGAGAACGCAGCTGAGGAAATGAAGCGTTGCTGAAGCCACTGAAGGAAACCGAAGCTAAGCAGGAATCTCCAAGGGGAGCGGAGTGTGAACGTCTTTTCTCCCCCCCCCGTCCCAAGCCTCCACAACTCCTGCTGTGGATTACCAAGGTGGCCCCCACGGCTCCTTCTGCCCCCTTCCTCCTTGGCGGGAGTTGTGGGGAAAACGCCAGGCGGCTGCAGCCCCAGTTTCTTCTCGGCCGCCTTCTTTTCCTTTCCTCAGCCCAAAGAGGAACCTGCTCGCCCCCCATCCCCAGTCAAGCGGGAGCTCGCACCGCTTGCCGCCATCGCCACCAGCACCGCCGCTGCCGCTGCTTTTGCCCTTGCCGTGATGCCATGCCCCGCAGCTACAGCGGAGGAGATGACAAGGGCGGCTCCGCCGGGATCTGGTTAAAGAGCAGCTCGGCAGGGCGCTACGGCTGCAGCAGCAGTAGCAGCAGCAGCGGAATGAAGGATGTGGAGTCCGGTCGCAGCAGGGTGCTCCTGAACTCGGCGCCCTCCCGAGGGGACGGCTTGCTCCTCCTGGGCACCGGCGGCGGGTTTGGCTTGCGAGAGAGCCGGCGAGGCAAGCGAGGAGGAGCCCGGATGAGCCTGCTGGGGAAACCGCTCTCCTACAGCAGCAACCCGATCTACCGGCGGAACGCCAAGTACCGGAAGCTGCAGAACTATCTCTACAATGTACTGGAGAGACCTAGAGGCTGGGCTTTCATCTATCACGCGTTCGTGTGAGTAGCACGGGTGCCGGGGACAGACGCGTGCGCTCCGGCGGGGACTGAGCTGCCACATGGGTGGGGAAGTGGGTGGAGCCCCCACCTGTCGGAAGAGTGACCCGGCGGAATGCCTTGTCAAGGCGAGGGAGGTTGTGGCGCGCGCGCGGGTGAGGTCAGAGGTGTGGCGGTGTATCCTAACGCTGTGGAATGCCCTGAAGCCGTTTTAACGTGCTTGCAAAGTGAGCATCCCTTGAATTCTCTAGAAATGTGACAGGGTGCTTCGGTATGCAAGGACCTTAGTACGACCAATCAGGAGCTATATTCTGCTTCTAGTCTGTCTTCACGTTTTTCCACATAAGAAAAAAAAATCCTATCGTTTTAGGTGAGAAAAGATGAAAGGTTTACATGTGGAGGAAATGTGTTGTCTCCTGCTTAAAATTCAGTGAATAAGACTAGTGATTGGGTGACAGAAACCTGATTTGGGAACATCTAAAAATCACAGAGTAAAGCACCTATTCCTTTTGGATGACTCTGCAGGTATATCACCTTAAGGCATTTCCACACCTCATAATCCTTAAAGAGTCTTCAGCTATTTAATGTTATGTGTGATTGTGGTTATACTTCCTAAAACATAGGTACACACACAAAAAAAGTGGGTAGAGAACATTACAGTTAAAATCTTGGCTTGGGTATATTTTATATCTAAATTATAAATAAAAACACAGCCAAAACTACTCTCAAACCTTAGACAATTTAAGACTTTAAAACTGTAATCCTATTGTCATTCACCTGAATTTAATTTCTTGATCACAAAGGGGACTATTGCAAAGAGCATATGGAGAATTGGGCTCCATCTGTCAAGTGTGAAAGTACATTTTAGATGAGGATTTTGCAAAAGTTTGGGAATTTTTATTTTTATATATGTATGTATGTATATATAGAAAACCCCATTGTAGAGTTCTTTGTGATATATTGATGTGGCTCTTGAATGTGTTAAACGACATTTAGCTGAAAATAGAAGAATGCTAGTATTATCCAGTGACAATGAAATGGGAGGAACTAGATTGAAACATGCTTAGAAGTGAATCATGTACTGGCTCCTCTACTTAAGAAACAACAGTTGCAAGTATTGAAAAGGTGCAGTAGGTAAAACATGGTGAAGGTAATACAGGTAAAAATCTTCAACATTTCCCAAAGATAAAACACATTGGTTATTTTCTATCAAGAAAAAGAGTACTTTATTTCCAATAATAATAGCATTTACTAGACTATCTCAAATAGTGAAAGCATCCAACAGATTTCAATAGCATTATGGCCTGTGAAATAGGCTGATATTAATAATGTTGAATATGGTATCAGAAGTTGAAATAATAGCATTTTAATAGGCACACTTGAACTCTCATAATCAAATAGTTTGCTAAGCAAAATCTACCAGCAATCCTTAAAACAACTCTGTAAATAAATAAATATTACTTCTCATATTGTTGCTCGTGTTATGGAGGTTGAGAAATAAAAATTTGAGATAAGCTTACTAGTTTGTGATAGGGGACTAGATTCATTCCCATGGTTCTGGCCTGTGACACTATATTCCACAAGTTGTTAAGGCAGGAGGTTGCATAAATCAGCCAGTCAATCAAGTGTGACTTGAACTAGGGAGATGCTGGTTTCCCCTAAGACAAAATCTTGTCATTACTGAAAGTCTACAGTTAGACATTCCTCATCTAATGGTATGTTTCTAAGAATTCCAAGGTGAGCATGAGATGACAGAAACTCTACATAATTTTTGCAAATTTGAATACATATTTACATAAAGTTGTTTGCAGTTCAAAATAAGGAAATTGAGACTATGGCAGATGCAGAAATTTGGACTGTCATCCAGTTGATTCAGGTCTAAAAAGTTAAGAAGGCTTCCAAAAGGATTGGCTTATCAGGGTTGTAGTTAGCTAGGTAAAGACAACCCCATCCGTAAATAAATATTTGGATCCTTCTAAGCTGTCAGGCTGCAACTGTTTGTCTAATAAGCATGAATTTCTCTAAGCAATGAACATTTGAAAGAATATTTCATTCTTAGAAAGTAAGGAAAGGCAACATAATTCCAAATTTTCCAGCTAAATAATTTCAACTGTGAGGAACATTTTTTCAGAAAAGAAGTTCCAGGAGCTGGTGAATATACATTGAATGAAAGGTCTGCTGGACAAAGAAAAATATCTAGTAAACCTCTCCCAAAACTGGCCATATCTACAAAAGAGAACTCCCAGAGATCAATGCAAATAGCCTGCTGAAAAATTTAATAATGTGGGGTTGCTATTATCCACAAGGCCATACCCCAGCATTACTTATACACCAATTATGAAAATGTTGCAGTTATAGGACGACAGTGGCACAATGAATATTGTGTGGGTGGAAGAAAAAAAGTGATTCATTCAAATGTTAACACATCCTAAAAGCTAATGGCTGACGTTCAATGAAGAAATTGAAGAATTTGAAGGCAATGTTTTGAAACTAAAATAATAATAATAATAATAGTAGTAAAGTTGGAAGGGACCTTGGAGGTCATCTAGTCCAATCCCTGCTCGGGCAGGAAACCCTACACCATTTTGGACAAGTGGCTGTCCAGTCTCTTCTTAAAAACTTCCAGTGTTGGAAAGTGCTAATAAAAAAGTTTTGGAATGGCCTTCATAGCCTCTATACTTGAATATTATTGAAAATCTGTAGGAAAGTCACAAGCAGGAAATTTATGCGAGACAGGAATATTTTTGAGCTAGAAAAGTTCAACAAGGAAGAGTGGTAGGGGGAAAAAAATCTAAAAAAAAAAAAAAAACCCTGTAGAAAATATTTGAAAGCTGTTATTTCAAGTAGTCATTAAAGTTCAAACTCCTATACCTTCCATATTCATAATTTTTTATATTTCAGAACTATAAACGATAGCATTCAAATATCCAGAAAGATGCAATGTTTGTACCATATAGAATTATGTCATCTTCTACTCCCTTAGGGATTCACTGAACTGTTCAGTTTGATTAGAGGTGCCTAAACTTTTGCATGCAACTATATATTTCCATTCAATCAGTTTTGCATTCATGGTAATAGCAGTTTTATTAGCTATGATCCTTTTTTTTATGAAAAGGAGATCTGAAGTAGAGATATCGTAGTAGTGTAAAGTAAACTTCTCTTCAAAAAGAAAACTAAACTGAAGTTAATGACCTGCCTTTCTCAATATGAAGTGTTGGTATGTATTTCAGATATATTGGGAGTTCTAGTTCCATCTGTTACAGAATGCTAAATTGGGAAGTATGCTCAAAACCTGACATTTATCCATTGTATTGTAATGTATATTCAGTACTTTACTTTCACCATTTTTCCTATAGAAATATTATACTTAGATCTTCTTTATCTGTATGGGAAAGACTTAAATGCCTGTCCTTAATAGTGATTAGACAAATTACAATTTTCACTGTCCCTTGATAATGGTCATATTCCAGTAAAAGTTCAGCTCTTTCCATTCCCATCAATTTAGCAGCGATGCTTAAAGTGGCAATATCATGTACATTGCACAAGAATAATAACATCCAAGAGAAACTATGAGAAATACAATGATGTAATATCAATTATATTGTTCTATCACCATTAATCATGTCACTCATGCCAGGTCTTCAAGAAAACATAATTTACAGATTCCTTCTGCAACTACACATGGACGTGACAGTTTGAGAAGAGTCAATGAACTGTTGTTTCTGTTTGGAGAATTCTTTTGCCATTGTCTGAAAATGTGGTTGCAGAAATGCAGAATGCTAGGTAACACCGCTGGCATCTCTTCCATTTCTAAATGTGCAGGACATTGATGCTTGTATATGATTTACAAAAGTATATATTCTTAATTGTTGGCGGGTTTATTTGTTGATTTTGATAAAACTGATCAGTTTTGAATTTCTTCTCTTTTTTGTCAGAATGTTGGAAAGTATTGTCTTCATTGCATAAGGCATTTACTGTAGCTTGTCAGACGTGATCATATGCGCTCCTAATTTTCTGTAGAAGACCTTGGAAGAATAGCTCTTATGCAGTTTTGCGTGCTCAAGTATAAGAAAAATTATCTCAAACTACAACAAAGTTGTGTCTTATAACAGTTCCTCAAACACATCCTACTTTTGTACTTTATTGTAATTTTCACTTGGCAATTTGTTCCTTCAGCCATTCCTTAATAACATAGGTTTGTCTTTAAACATTTGGGGGACATTTTGTTTATCCTTCTATGAAAAGAGTGAGGGTGATAAATAAGGTCCAAATTCTAACTAAAAGAACAATTGTTGAGAGAGGCTATATACAAATTATTCTTAATATCTAATTATCCACTTGCTTCAGTTGAAATAATGATATTTATAGAAAATACAGATAGTCCTTGTTTAACAACTGTTTTGTAGATTTGACTGTTCACAGTTGTGATGGTGATGAAAAAATAATATTGCAACCAATTTTCACATTTACAACTTTCTTTGGTCTGGAAAAGAAAGCAGATGTAAGATTGTTACCACAGTCACAGTTTCGTTTAATTATACCTTTGTTTAACAACCAAGATTCACAATTGTGGTCACTAAATGAGGACTATCTGTACTTGTTAGAAATCATAAAATGGTATTTTAATTATTGTAATTTAGAAAATATGTATCTTGTCATTATCTCAAAGAATTAACATCCTGAAGTATTGAAATCTGAATGTTTTTAGGATACTAATCAAATTTTTACTCCGTAACCTAAACATTTCTGGTGTAAAAAAGCATATCTCAAATTATTGTAAAAGCATATTTTTCACTACTTTCTTTTGAATTGAGTTTATAAACATTAACTCCTTTGTAGGGCAGCAGGAGAAAATGAGAAGCAGAAAGGATCTAATGAGCGAGTAATTGAAAGTAAATGTTTTTAATCTACTCCCTCAGGCTTCAAGTAGCTATGAATAGTTAAAGCAGGGGTTCTCAACCTTGGCAACTTTAAGACTTATGGACTTCAACTCCCAGAATTCC